ATGTTATTTCACATGCACCGAGTAGGGCTGCTCCTGCCTTGAGCTCTGTGGCATGGACAAATTGTTGAATATTTATGGAGAAAAATCTGTATATCATATCATCCGTTCAATGTACCGAATTACTGAGCATTTGTCAAAACAATTCCTACAAGAATGTGGAGCGCATTGTCTTCACAGATGTCCAAACCTTCAAGCCATCCACGAGACGAGAAGAGTTCGCTTAAGCATTTTACTGGTCGACAATTGAACCTTGAGAAGAATCCCTGTTTTGCGTTCCGTTAATTCCTTCAAAACGAAGTCCAAAATGAAGACTCTGATGCACCTGACAACCACCGGAACTTGCACTTGGCCAATACTGATTGCTTAAGTCTAGAGAAGTGTGTGTTGCCGCTTAGCCTCGAATTTTGCTAAAATTGAGAGAAGCGAGTCTATTTCCACCTAAGCTCAAAATTTACTCATTGCAAACAATTAACGAAGAGAGCAGAGGATCAGAGGCTCCAGTTATCAGCATTCCATCTTTCTTAACTTGCATCAAATAGTCCAAAGCTCGCTCCGTAATGATCTCTCCAGGGATCAGCAGAGGAATTCCTGGTGGATATGGACATATCAACTCTCCACAGATTTTTCCAGGACACTCTTCAATGCTTGCTTTCCTTTTGCTCATAAAGAATGCGTCTCTAGGACTCATTGCCATCTCTATGTCAAGGAAGGGACCCAAATCTCCATTATTCACTGTACCTTCAATGCTCTTGGCAGCTGATGCTACAGATAGATGCTTTATTCCAGAGACTAGCCTCTGAACATGCTCTTTGTGGGTTCCAAGATTTAGAGCGAAAGTCATGTATCGGGACCCAACAAGTTCACAGACAATCCCATGATCCCTATCTAGAATCTCATCTGCTTCATAACCGGACAGACCCAGCTGCCAGAAACCAACAGTAAGGCGCAGCGGGTCCATGGCGCTACAGTTAGGGAAGCTTGAAGAGTCAAGTAGAGTAACACCCGGCACTTCTTCTATCAATTCCTTAGCCATAACCGACAAATCAATTGATCTACTGAATATGGCTCCTGGGTTTTCACTCAACTGAGCTCTAGCGGCATCCAAGGATGCCAAAAGCAAATAGCTAGGACTGGTGCTCATAAGTGTTTGAAGACATTTACATATTCTCTCTCTATCTACAATATTCCCTGACATGTGCAGCATGGATGACTGAGTGAGGGAGCATAAAACTTTGTGTGTAGACTGAACGGTGATATCGGCTCCTTGCTGGAGGGCTGAAGCCGGCAGGTGACTATGAAATCCAAGATGTGCACCATGAGCCTCATCAACAATCAGCGGAATTCCATGAGAGTGACTCAGCCAGGAAAGCTCATATATGTTACTGCATACACCCTGGTAAGTAGGGGAGGTGACCAAAACTGCCGCAGCTTTTGTACTTTCATTTTCCAAATCACTCAATGCCTTCTCTACCTGCAAGAAGAAGCGTTTTAAATTACTTAAAAATATGCCGGAGCAATGTTAAACTTCCGCATCCTGTAATTGCATGCGAATTGACATATTCCTCTTATGGTTGCTAATGGAAGTTCATTTATATTCCTCCCGCTTCAAGTTGAGAAGAGAAATGACAATAAATAAACAATACATGCTAAAACATGATAAGAATGTGCAGGAAGCATAAGCTGTCTGAACTCTGCTTGCCTGTGCAACATCGATGCTGCCAGCAATGCCCCACTCAGAATTATATTCAGGCATGATGTATTTCGGTATTACACCAGACAACATCATGGCAGAGGTTGCTGACAAATGAGAATTTCGAGGGAGAATGAGAGTGTCGCCAGGGGAACAAGTAGCCATGATTGCAGCATGGATGCCACATGTAGTACCCCCGACAAGAAACCACGTTTCTGATGATCCAAACAACTCAGCTGCTTGCTTCTGTGCATCTAAGATGGGGCCCTCTGGAGAGAAGAGGTTGTCCAGCTCAGGAAGCTCAGGCAAATCATGACGAAAAGGGTCAATGCCGATAACCCCAGCCAACGAAGATGGAGCAGCACGACCTCTGTTATGTCCAGGAAAATGAAAGCTCGCGACATTCTGTTCGGCTGCAGCCTTCAGCGCACTAACCAGAGGAGGGGGAGGGGGAGGGGGAGCACTATTTCCCTCAAGCCTTGAAGAGCTCAAAACAAGGGGAACATCTGTCACCAGATTATCCACGACCCCGATCCTAACTTTGGTTTTCTTGGGCTCTATCTCACTTCGTTCCTGTAATTTGTGTCGAAAAGGATCAACTTGATGTAGATTGGCGACAATTTTGCACCTAGACAACAACGAAGAGGCATCGTCGGACGTCTGAACTCCAAGAAATGTGGGAAAAACCCAATGAGTCAGAGGATAAGGGGAAGGGAGACCTAGGAATGCAGGCAGAGTCCGTAATGCACAAGGTCATATATGATACGCCCTACTGTCATTCAAGAGACCAGGTTCCCACAATTTTCTCATAAGAATCACGTTAATACCGCTGAGAATTGAAGGGTTCGACGGGAAAGCAAGTCAGATATATACAATCCAAACAAGAACCAGTGACAAGACTCTGGTCCACATACTACTGGGCCTAGTTTGAGATGGCAATGCGAGCAAGAACCCAATCAGATGTAGGGACAATTCAGGACGTGCGAGGTGGCTGTGAGCAAAGAGGAGCGGGAAGCGCAAGGCAATAAGCGAGGGCGGGCGCAGGAGAAGCGGAGAGAAGAGGGGAGGAATTTAAGGCGAACACTTACGGGGCGAGTGGGGAAGGAGAGCGGCCACGGATGAAGCTGCGGTCGGAGTGGCGGCGGCGCCGGGGACCGCAAGACGCGCGAGACGTTGGTCCGCCATTGCTGAGGACGGAAGCGGATGAGGAAGAGAATGACAGCGCCATGGCTTGAGCACGGAGCGAGGAGGAGGAGGAGAAGGAGGAGGCGGAGGAGTGGGGTAATGGAAACGCCATGAGAGGAGGGAGATTCTTGTTGCTTGAGCTTTCACTCGCCCAGGTGACTCTCGTTTGCGAAAATGAGATAAATGCTCCGTAAAACTTAGGTTTTGACGTAATATGTAATATGTTCCTGAACTTTAAATTTATTCAATATGATCTCTGGATTTTTGGTACATATTCAATTTAGTCTCTAGATCATATGAATGTTCAATTCTGTCCATAAACTTGAGTTAAAGGAAGAACAATATTAAATATTATAAGAACTAAACTGAATATGTACCAAAAGTTGAGGGACTTCATTGAATGAATTAAAAGTTTAGGAATCACATTGCACATTGAAATAAAATTTAGAAATCATATTAAATAAATTAAAAATTCATGATACTGAACCAAAAATTCAGGAACCTTTTATGCCATTCCCTTCTTGTTTTCAGCTTACTTCTTTGTAAGGCACAGTATAGTTTCTTTTTACTTTATTATCTTTATGTAGCTGAACAGGACGATTGGAGAATTCCAGGAGAGAATTTCTTGAAAAATTCGGGTGAATCGTGTAATTTCTTTTGGGATTATGCCCACGCTTCTATGATGCATAAGCGTAAAATCAAAGTCCAAAATCTGATCACGCACGCCTCCGAGCCATTTCGCAAACAAGGACGGAAAGCACATGGAAGAACGAATTGAGCGGAGCACATCATCCTGCATAACTGAAGAGGACAGCACGGGGTCTCCCATCATCTCGATGATAAACCGACTCGAGAGGCTCGATTTCGTCGCGCGCGCTGTGGGGTTACAGCCCTTAGGCACGTGCCCGCGCAAGCCCATGCAGCGTGTAGGGGCGGGCCTCAGGAAACCGCGATTGTGCATGCGATCTTGTGTCTGATATGAACAAAGACAAAGATACGTGCTTTTTCTCCATCCACGTACCCTACTAGCTGCGATGGTCCTTATAAGCCCGAATTACAGAAGCATCAAACTAGTTAATCCTCCATCACCATAGAGTTGCCTCTGCACAGATGATTTTACTCTCATTGACAGGTACTCCACAGGAGCTACTCATGACACCAACAAGAATACAACTGGAATACTTTCAGTGCAAGCCGAAGAGTTTAGTATATATAGACAGTAATTTCTAAGTTTGTACATGTGATGATCTAAAACCTCATGCTAAGATCCATTTGACATCACAATCTTTTTTCTATGACAAGAGTAATCTGGAAAGAGTAAACACTTCCTTCATGATTCGGGGCATCGACCCTTTTAATGAATGTGACTAATCCTATCAAATGATAGCAGTTTTCTCGTCCCACCGCGACTGAGTAATCACAGGGGAGATCCCATGACAATGCTTCTCCATAGAATTCTAACCAAATCGACAACCCTCAAAGGTTACTAACAAAGAACTTGACTGTAACTAATCTGAGACACCGATACATGTTCATCTGTATGGACTCTCAAAGCACTAATTAAACCAGGTGCCTGCAAAAACAGACACTAAACAGCAAGGACAACATATTTTCAAGATATATTCAGACTTGTAATGTTTTCACGATATAACTAAGAATGTTTCCATGCCATATCAAAGGATTATAAGGTGCAAAACTTCTTTCAGCAAACACAAGTGAGAGTTAACAAAGCGCAATTAACTGATCACAAGCAGATAGATGGACTAACACGTCATCGCGATAAAATTACCAAATCTGCAGACTAACTGAACCAAACTAGAGACGAACCAATAGCACAACATGTATCTTTCTCAATACCTAGAGCTTGCCATCATTGGAATCTTCTTGGACAGAAGATGGCAAGGAATGAGGAGCTTCTGCATTAGAAATGCTTCTACATCTCTTTTTCTACAGAGTATTTGCTTATTGGGTCGATTGAGGAGATGTAAGACTAATTGACCTGGGCTATTATAATGTCTTGGAACAATCTCTAAGGATGTGAAAGTTAACCATCTCTTAACCACCAGCACGTTGAAATTTACTTCCACCAATAACTCAAAATTGTTCAATCATAATACTCATAGACTTCCCAAAAGAGAACCAAAATTCATAAATCATCCCCATCCAGATCGTGTTTTAGTACATAAAATCAATGATAACCAACAGATAATTGAATGCATGAACTTATAAACATCATATTAGACTACTCATCCGCACTTGGAGTGGTCCAAAGTCCATCTGATTCCAGATTAGCATATGTTATAGCATCAGATTTCATCCAGCACCATCTCCTCATTCCTTAAGTCAAACCCATTATCCATTCAAATGCTAATATATCTCCTCATGATATAACATTTCGTCACCAGCCAAGCGTTGGCAGAGAGTGGCATAGCCTTGTTCTTGTGCACCCAAATAGTGAGAAGCCCATTTGTGCAATCTCTGGAGATTTGTCGTGACTGGCGCTTCCCCCCACAAGTATGTTTAATGGCTATTATCAGAGTATACTCATAAACCAGTTATTGGGCCGAACTGAAACTCAGAGAGCTCCCATGCAGCTGAAGGATACAGCATAAACAGGGACAAGTGATTGGATCCAGCAATGAAGTACTCGGTGACTACTGCGTACTAGCAGATTGATTTGATTCAGTGCCCTTCGATTGTGACCCATCTCTCGTCGTCATCGAGCTTCTTCCCAGTGCTTGAGCAAACATCCTCTTTGCAGCTCCTAGATGCTCTTTCTTCAAGTACTCCTTGTTGGCAACATTTTCACTTCTTGCACTCCGAGATGAGGGGACATTAGCATTTTTCTGCACAGATTCTTTAGGCACCTTCCTCCCAGTAAGAGTTGCACGGACATCATGGTTCTCACCCTTTGCCTTCTCAGACATATTTACATCTGGTCCTTGAGTATAATTAGTCTCTCCATTAGCTTCTAAGCTCGAATTGGGGTGGAACTTCTCATTTTCTGGCACATTGAATCCATTAGTGCCTACTTCATACCCTTCACTATTCTTGGCAGCATCATGGTTGTTAGCGCCTATTTTTTGGCCAAGGGCATGTGCAATCATACGGCGGGCCACTACAGGAACATTTCGTGGTCGCTGTGTCATGGGTTCTCTCATGTCTTCCGCATCAAAGGCAAAAATTCGCTCACGGGCAGCAAGATAAGCAGCTTCTCTCTCCTTGAATGTATGTTGAGAAGATGGGACATTTGTTATCAACACTATTAAAGGAAAAGAAGAAATCATCACTTGGCATTCAAGTCTATGCCTTCAGGCATGATGTAAAAGAAGGAAGCAAGCAATGAACTTTCAATGGTATCTGTTCTTAAATCTCCACTTTGTACCTTATTACAATGTCTAAATTCTCTGGTTCCTAGGTAACAAAGAAGTACAACATTTTTCCATGAGACTGGACTTTCCTTCTCATTTTAATTCAATTTGAAATGGCACTCTTGTCATTCATAGAAGAAACAAAGTGGAATGAGGTGCAAAGTGTGCTTTGTCGCAATTCCAAATTTTCATGGAAAATGAGATAGCATATGAGAGATCTTCCGGTTACACAAAAACTCTACTCCAATGCTAATGAGGGTAAAAGCAGAGTGACCACCTCCCATTATAGTGGAAAGATAATTCAAATTCTTACCCTCTCTAAAACTTACAACCACTCCCTTTCATTCTCCTCAGTTAATTACTAGTGTCCTTTCATTATGAGATCACGTCTTGTTACATAACACTTCAGCATGCTCCGAGCACAAATATCCAAAGTTCCGTACCAGTTGGAGCATCTTTTCTCCTCAGTATCTGGTACGATGATGGCAGAGGTTGAGGTTCATCATACTGCCATAAGATATCACTAACAAGAATTGAAGGTCTGCCATCAAAAAGGACATATTATCCTGCGTGAGATCATAAGCGTTGGAATAATGTAAGAACTCATAATTTATATCCACAATGCCAAGTCTGAACCAGTATGTGCAATCTTTCCACATACATTGATGTTTCAGGGCAACGCTCCAAGATCAAATGCCGATCATCTCCTTCACCCACTGATTCATGGGCAAACCTAATCAAGTAACAGTTGGTAAAATACCACAAGACAGGCAAATGACTCGTGAAATAAAGAGCCAGTGACTCATGTTCTCAAGTAATAGAAACCCAGTATAACAGAGAAAAATTTTTGATGCCAGAAAGTGTATGTAGAGTGATACCCAAATATATCAGCCAGCCGATGAATAAGAAGACGGTTGTAGGGGTTCATGGGTTCCAATTCCAGAATCTCATCTCCACTGCAAAGACAGTAATCTAAGAAGTTTTTCCCACAATCCACACAAAAGGACTTCACATAAAGATTCATATTACAAAAGGACTTCAGCATCAAGAAAAAGAACGTTCTGTACCATCATCTCGAAACCATCAATAGCAATTATTGTAAGAATTCCCAACATATGACAAGAGACAGAAAAATATGATCTAACAATGAGGAGAAAGTGGACAAGATGTCTTCCCTGCTCTTAGAGGCGCAGTGTACATTGTTGTAGAAAGTCCCCCATTCTGGCCTAGATGCATTCGTGGCAACTACTACTATGATTGTATATTCAATATAGCTTAAACATAATATAACTTTTCTAGTTCCCCAAGCCAGTGATTTAAGAAGTGCATTCGTCAAGCAATATCAAATAATGCAGCTGGGAAAAGGCTCCATTCTTAAGTCCATTCATCTCATCGACTTGGAGATGGTGAAAGCCCAGAAAAAACTGATTGACCTGGTTGACCTTGTTGACTCTAGTTTGACAAAGTCTACAGGTATATATCACACTCAAAATACTCAGGAAATTCCGGCAAAGAAAAAATAAAGGGGGGAGAGGTAGGGTAAAAATGTTAAAACCATTAATGACTGAAGTGCACATAGCAATAAGCACCATTACACATAAACAATTAATCTTGTAAAAACAATGCCCATGAAGTGCCACGTAACTGAACTTGACCAATTCATAGCAGAATCTGCTTACTCGCATGCCAAGAGATATTCACTTAATCTCACAGAATTTTCGTGGCATTGACTAAAGATTTGACCCACGAAGTTGGATGTAAAATCATATCGAATTACATATCAAGTGACTCTCGGATCAATCCATCCTCAAGAATTCATTATTTAGTCAGGAAATGAGAAAGCTCAGACTCCACCATCTATTTCTTGTTTCAAACTTATCTTTTATGGAACTGGAAAATTCCATATCAGCAGAAGCATTATATAAGGGAAATAGCACTAGAATTGCTATATCCTTCATAATCATAAAGAAGAATACATTGGTTCCAGAAAGAAAATTTCCAACTTTGTCAAATTGCTACCTTGCACCTATCATATTACGGACTCGTGAATGTTCTCTCTAACAGGGTCGCCTCATCTTTCCCTTTAACTAACTAATCATCCCTGAGTCTGCCACACAACCAAGAAATTTCTTAGCTAAGGCTACAGAAAATGTCACTGACCAATTTTAACAATTGCTGAGGTGTGCGACCTACTTGCAAGTTCAGGATGGGAAAAAATAGCAAGCAAAGCATAGATTGGGAGACCAATCAGTGCTCCAACTCTGCTTCGTTGTCACCCTTAGCCACAGAAACAATGCTAAAAGTGTATGTGTCGTAGTCTTCGTTTGGTATATGTGTAAGTGGAGAATTTTCCGTGGATCAGCGGTCGTCATTTTCCATAAACAAGTTAACATCTCCTAGCTTCACACAAATGCGGGTCAGTTCTTGAATCTATTTACACATTGAAAGCAATTTCTGGGAGGGATTGATGGTTTTCCTTAGTGCAATTGGTTCTAAAGAAGTAGGATGAAAGGTTCAAGCTCCTCCACAGCGAAATATGGCTCCTCAAAATGCACCTAGACTTTTAACTTGCTGAAGCACACGTACCCTTTCTTCTCCCATCATTGACAATCTTTGTGGAAGTTGGCTAAACTTTACTTCTTCCAGGTTCCTGTTCTGTTACTCCGATGACAAGTCCAAAGACACCTTTCTCTCCTCTTCAACTTCCCACTCCAGTACATCATACAAAAGGGAATTCTTTTACGGACAATAATAATGGAAGGTACTCACTCACCAATCCAATTCCAACTTCACGACGCGCAAAAGCAGCAATGCGAAGTCTGCACTCAGCAATCAATCAAAAGGGACTTAGGAGTCAGAATCGCAATATACCTGGAGTCGTCCTGAAGGAAATTCACCAAACCCTCCTCCACGGAGAGCAGGAGATGCTTGCAGGGAAGGTTGTCCTTCACCAGGAAAGCCAATTCCTCTACCTGCCACGACCCACGAGTCGTCAGAGTCACTGGAAACGTCAAAAAGCACAGAAACTTCTCTTTGGGTAGTCGAGAAGTCCAAAAAGTTTGGAAATTGAGCGCATGATCGGCCGCTCGAGTTGCCCACGACCCAGTTCCCGCAACCATCGGCAGTTCACAATCTCGATCGCACCCGAACGAAAGGAAATCGAACCAAGCCGACCCAGAAGGATCAAACAGAGAACCTAACGAGAGAAACCCACATGAGATAACGAGAGCGCGAGAGAGAGATCTCACCATGGCGAATTGGTTGATGCTCATCTTGAAGAAGACAGGCGGAAACCCGAAATTTTGCGAAAGCAACCGAGGGAGAGAGAGGGAGAGAGAGAGACGAAGGCACCGGGATGATGATTGTTGGTGGCGTTGCGCCGTCTTGCCTCCGACCGTATTCGTTCTTCGTTTGCGTTTATTCTTGGGAAATTTTCAATTTGGGGCATAAAGTAAGCCCATTTTCTCAAAATGGGGTCCCAAATGTAATCAGTCTCAAAATTGAGTCTAAAGTGCTCAATTAGTCTCAATTTGATACATGAGTTTGCCGGCCGGCCAAATAGTCACCGGCGGCAAGTTTTTTACTGTTCCGGTGGCCAGAACAGTAATTTTTTACTTTTTAATTTTTTTTTTTGCTTTTTTTTTTCTCTATGGCCGGCGGAGGCTGCCCTCGCCAGCGTCGGGGAGGGCCGCCCCGGCGAGGGCCGCCCAACCTTCCCCGACGGCCCTCGCCCGACGCCACAGGCGAGGGTTGCCCGACGCCATAGGCGAGGGTTGCCCTCGCCGACGTCGGGGAAGGCTGGGCGACCCTCGCCCGACGCCGACGAGGGCAACCCTCGCCTGGGCAGGCGAGGGCGACCCTCGCCGGGCGTCGGGCGAGGGCCGCCCTAGCCTCGGCTGGGCGATCGAGGGTCGCCCTCGCCTCGGCTGGGCGGGCGAGGGCCACCCTTGCCCTCGCCGACATCGGGGAAGGCTGGGCGGCCCTCGCCCGACGCCGGTGAGGGCGACCCTCGCCAGATCCCACTCAGCCTCCTCAGCTCCTCCTCCGACAGCCTCAGCTCCGCTAGCGTGGGCGCCGCGGCCCCCTTCTCTTCCCACCTCCTCCTCTCCCTCTCCAGTTCCCTCTCCTTCCTCACATTCCGCCTCAGCTCGCCGTACCTCTCCATGAAGCTGCCCGAGCCGGGCTCGGGAACGGGGTTCTCAGACGTGCTCTAGCTCCTGTCGATCGTGTGGCCGACGCGGTGCCCTCGCCGGATCTAGCGAGGGTCGCCGTCACCAGCGTCGGGCGAGGGCCGCCCAGCCTTTCCCGACGTCGGCGAGGGCAACCCTCACTTAGGGCAGGCGAGGGTCGGCCTCGCCCACCCGGCCAGGCGAGGCGGCCCTCGCCCGACGCCAGCCGAGGGTCGCCCGACGCCGGCGAGGGTCGCCCTCGCCCGCTTAGGCGAGGGCTGCCTCGCCGGCGTCGGGCGAGGGCCGCCCAGCCTTCCCCGACGTCGGCGAGGGCAAGGGTCGCCCTCGCCGACGCCGGCGAGGGCAACCCTCGCCTGCGGCATCGGGTGAGGGCCGTCGGGGAAGGCTGGGCGGCCCTCGCCAACGCTGGTGAGGGCAGCCTTTGCCGGCCATAGAGAAAAAAAAAAAGCAAAAGAAAAAAGCAAAAAAAAAATTAAAAAGTAAAAATTACTGTTCCGGCCACCTGAACAGTAAAAAACTCGCCGCCGGTGACTATTTGGCCGGTCGGTGAACCCAGGTACCAAATTGAGACTGATTGGGCACTTGGGACTCCATTTTGAGACTGATTGCACTTGGGACCCCATTTTGAAAAAATGGGCTCACTTTGGACCCCAAATTGAAAATTTCCCTTTATTCTTTCATCTTTTTCTTTTTAAGGTAAAAGCAACCAAAAATCTTAAATGATACCCGTTATGACATAATTATCTTAAACTTTTTCTATAATACAAAGAATCCTGAATTTATACGTGCGTGATACTTTACCGTCATTCAAAGTTCCGTCAATGAGAACCATTAAATATATGCCTACATAGATGCTAGGAAGTAAACAGTGTTAATATGACACTCACGTGACTTAAGTAAAATTAAAACAACTTTGTTTTGACTGAATAATTATCTAATAGAGCATTGACAGAGGGTAGATGTGTTGAATGGGTATAAGTTTGAGATTTTTTATAACACGAAAAAGTTCGTATTGAATAGATCACAGTAGGCATAGTTCAGGGTTTTGTTGATATTGAAAAACAAAAGTTTAGAGTAAATGTGTTACGATACGTATAGTTTATGATTTTTTGTGGCTTTTTTTCCTTTTCTTAATTCCCATTTGACATTTTTAATTACGAAACATTTGTTTTTCTTTTTCAAGAAAAAGTGATTGAGCCGATTTGTTATCAATGGAATCTTAAATCTTGCAGAAAATATTCAACACACTTCTATGCCGAAAACTTGAACGTAGACTAAATTTAAACAATGAAATTCAAATTTTTGTCGGTCATTGACCCAAAAAGAATGCACAATATGTTACTATAATTTTGGTCAAATTTTGCATAATCCAAGAAAAAGAGAATTGGTTACACAGCCCAAATGCCTTATAATTTTCGTCTAAAAATGTAACACGAGTCATGTAAATGGATTTATCAGATAAATAGGTGGGTTGATTGCATGGTTTATTTTGAAATGGCAATAGGATAAGTGTTGGCTTTGAAATTGAAATGAACAAACCGTTGTTGAGATAAAAAGAAAGAAGATGTCGTCGCTATAAAGGGTAAATGCATCTTGTAACTCTTGAGCTATAATTTTCTTCATCCCTAGTTTTGAGAAAATTTTGTTCGCATCATAGCTCTGATCGGTAAGTTATGAGTTATGAATTTCATCCATATGCCAACTTAATTAAAATTAAAAGCGGGCGATTCATACATTTGTAATCTAATATTGAACGACATGATTTGAAAAAATTCCCTTCCATAAAGGAAAACTTGATCCTTTACCTTAAGAGATGGATCAGAAGAACATATAGGATTCGATCTTAATAAAATTCATGTTAAATTGCTCTCGTATAGAAATGTTTTCATGTGAAATGTGTAACCTTTTTACTTTTATCACATATAAATTGTTCTAAAAATATTCAAGAAAATAAAACCACCCTTATTTTTGCACTTTTTTATTAAAAAAAATTTCCCTGTTATTTTGGATCACAAAAAGCTAATGTACTAACATTCTTGCCCGTTTATTTTGGATAAAAAAAAAAGCACAAAACAATCTAAAAAATTATACAAATTCGAAAAAAAATTCATGAAAAATTTATAGGTCAATATGCATGTCGACATTTGTATGTTTTGAAAGAATTTAGGTGTTGCGTGTTGAATAAAAATAAAAGTGCATGCGCCATTAATTTAAAAAAACAATAAAAGAATAAAACGTAAAAGTGATTCTAAAAATAATAAGTGTAAAATTCACTTTGCTTTCTTTTCTCACAACTCACCTCCAGAAACTGTGTACAGAGAATCCACAACGTTAACTCTGCTGTCCAAGATCACCTAAGCTAGAGTAAGATGTTTCAAACAAGAACACATCATTTAACATTCCAACTTGAACCATGTCCATCAAAGGAAAAAAAGAAAAAAACAAAGAAAGAACATGCAAGAACTCTAATTTGATCTTACAGTGACCCTCGCAAAGTGTCTCTCCACTCACAAATCCTATGCATTCTCCAGGACTCGTTGCATTTACACAAGAACAAATGAAGGAAACCATACATAGTATTCGTCTGTGTCGGCGGGGGGGCGAAGGTGACGGTTGCGTCAAGCTTGGGGCTCTTCCAAGGATATGACGGTCTCGAAAGCTCCCACGAGTGCCTTCACCTTGTTCTTCCTCTTCTCCATCAGCTTGCTCGAGGTCTCCGCGATCACGTCGTTGTATGCTGGCGAATCCTTCTTCGAGTTCCCCTGAGTAGGTTTCTGGCTCTTTGAAGGTGTAATGGTCTTAATTGTCAATGGCTTTGCTTCTTCTTCTTTCGCTGCGCCCCCCACTGTAGCGTCTTTCTTTTCATCATCTGATGATATGGACTTGTCCTGGTTTTGTTCTTCACCAGATTGCTCTGGCTTCTCACTTGTTGCCTCTGCTTCTCCAGTTTCCGTTGTGATGGCATCAGTCTTTTCGAGGGAGTGATCTTCAATTATATCTTCTGAGTCAGCTTTAGCCACCTCTGTTGAGATCTTCTCTTGCGTAATATCGGTCTGATCACTCAAAATTTGATCTTTATCTTCTCCAGTTTTGTCACCAAGAGGGGTTTCAATAGCTTCTTGTTCTGCTAATTTGTCCTTGGTATCTTCTGATTCTCTCTGTAAAAATTCAGTTGAATCATGATCTTGGTCCACCGTGGAAATGACACAAGCCTGATGATCAAGCAGAGTCTCTTGATCTTTCACAAGTTCATCACCTGCCAGGATAATATCATCATGTTCATCAATGATATCTTCAGGTTTCTGCAAATCTGAGGCAACTTCTACCCCATGATCACTCTCGACCTTCACAACAACAACCTCTTCCACATCTTTCAGCTCTGGTTTCTTGTTGTCTAAGTTTCCTGATTCAGCATTCAGTGTCTCTGAAATTACATCGGAATTGCTCGGAGCTGTAGTCAACCAACTGGTCTCCTTCTTGATGGTTGAAGGAGTTGAAACTGCACTCTTCCTTGTGATCTTATTACCAGCTTTAATTGAAGCCTGAGACTTGACAAGACCAGCTTTAGGTGTTTTTGAGGTCCTATCCAAAACTGGCCTCGCCGAACCGGAGGAAGAGGGAGAGAAAGATGAAGTTCTAACTGTTAGGGACCTCTCTCTTGGACCTGATGAAGTGAAGATCTTCTGCATCTGAGCAGATGAATCAGACTTGTCCAAAGAGTTTCTTCTGGAGAGATTAGGCTTCTGAGCAGAGGCTCCGGGCGACAATGAGACATGTTTCTTCGTCGCGGGCTTTGGCGATTCAACCCGTGAGCTCAACGTTGGTTTTAGATAATTCGGGACTTGCTTTTCTGATGCTGTCGAAGCGACATTGGTGGTCGGAGAAGATAATGAGGTGGATTGCTTTAAAGTAGTACTAGCTCGTTTGGTTTGGGCAGTGCCGGTTTGACGATGATCCGAAGGAGATGTGACCTTCTTTTGCTTCCCCAGAGAAGCACTCTCTTTCAGTTTTGTAGCCATGCCGACTGTATTGTCAGGACTAAGCTAGAGGAAGTTCAGTATAAGCTGCAAAGTGGAGGACAAAGTTAACGGTTTCACAGATTGCAGAAAGCACGAAGATTATTCACATAAGACTGCATTTGGTCGATTGTTTTTATCCTTTTTTGCATTTGTGCCATTGGCGAATAGGATAAAAGGCAGATATGACCTCCCATA